GGTTTTGCAAGTGTAGTAGCAAAACCCAATTAATTAAATTGATTTTTCATTATGACAGCCTCTTATTCTTTTTTTTTAAGCCGGGTTTGAAAGAAAATACAGGCAAAAAGCCTAAACACCGCAGCGATGCCCGAGCTCACCATAAATATTTATTCCCGAACGGGTGGGTGATTTCAGACATTACAGTCCTGCCCTTAAAACCTCAGGAGCGCTCACCCACCTCCAGCGGGACGGGCATCGCTGTCACTCTGCGGGGAGCTGCTATCAGGTATTTCAGGCCCTAGAGGCTCAAGCCGGGCTAATAATTGGCTGGGAAAGTTTCGGCGAGCACCTAACGCAGGTGCTGGCGGAAGCAGTGCTGCTGAGTCAGCAGCTGGCAGACATCCCTGCCACAGTCAGGTGAACCGGGGCCTTGCTATTTTTAGCCTGCAGGAATGAAGGCCACACCTTGCCCCGAAACCCCTGTATTCCCCTTGCAGTTTCAGGTGAGGGCCACGTCACCCTGGGCTTTTTATTCTATTACTAACTTCTATCTGTGATTGCTGCAACCTGCAAAATCATCTCATGGTATTTCCTGGCTCCTGCTTAGGCAGTTACCAAATTTATTTCCCTCCTGGGAGGATGTTTTCTTGCTCCTTTCCCCAGTTTCTACCTGTCTCTGTGTCCACATAGCACTGAAGTACACCCTTAACCTTGACCTTGCTGAGATTTAATGAAGACAGTTATGTCACTTGGGCGCTGAGCAGTTTCCCAGGGATGGATTTAAATCCATCGGGACAGGCAGAGTCTCAGCATCCTGAATGCTGCATCATCCTGCATACACAGGTGATGTCTTCATGACATCCCATGGCTGTGCTGCCATTAATGGCTGCGCCTCCATCACCACCTCTTGGCATTTCCTGTAAGGGACGGTGATGACAAGGACACCATTGTTTTTTGACATGGGTGTTGTTTGCAGTCACATCCCATCTAGGGATGATGCCAACTCATGTTGGAAATATGGTCCCTTCCCAGCTGCGTGTCCTGGACTTGCTTATATTGGCATCAGTCAAAATATAAAGTGGATTCTTCATCCCTGAAGACTAAACATGCTGCAAATGTGCTTATCGCTTAGTACATTCACAGAATAATTTGGGTTGGAAACAAGCTGTGGGGGTGACCCGGTGCCAGCCCTGCTCGAAGCAGGACTTCCATTGGTCTCAGACCCCTTCGGCCAGGCTGCTCGGGGTGATGCCAGTGCGCAAATAAGCACTAAAGTATAGTAACTGTGGCCATTTGCCTTTGCATCCTGCAGAAAATCTGGGTCCCGGTACTAATCACTAAGTGCCATACATTTTGTTAGGTTATCTCTTACGGCGTATCATCATAAATGAGAATTAAAAACCCGATTTAATCGCTAACCAGAAGAACTTTCCCAAACTTGGCTTCGTCTGTGGAAGAAAGCCACCGACACAGAGTTCAAAAGTAATTATTTTTATTTCAACTCTATAAAGTATACAACAGGCACTCGGCAATTACAGCTGCAGGGAAAATACAGAGCAAAACAAAAGCGGTTAAGTTTATGAAAAAAAGTTCTTAAATCTACATCAAAAGAGTGCAACCGGCCAACGACCGGTGGATGACCGATGTTTTTCTGACAAACAAAACCTCTTTCATGTAAGAAGAAAACTGGAGAAAATAAGAATATAAAACAAAGGGCCAGTGTAAAAGCAGTGTAAGCTGGGACTCGGGATGATAGGCAACTCCAAACGAGAATTTCCCCTTTTGCCGGTAAAGCCCTAAAACCGCCCAAGTCTCAGCGTCACGCCTGGTTTATGTGGCTGGGGAGCAGTGGAGGACGAGGAGCTTCCAGCTTTCCAGCTCAGCTCTGCGGGAGTGCCGAGGGCTTGCCTCTGCGGTGGGTTGCATATCGAAGGAGTCAGGGGAAAAGCATGGATCCTGTTTTGTTGAGTGGTGCAAACCAGCTACGCCTTTGTGTCAGGGTTTCAGGTCAGGTTGCACACCGAGTCGCTCATCATTTTTTTCTGGGTGGGAGATTTCTAATGGGGTTTGTGTAAGACGGGAGGTTGGCGCTGGACGGCACAATGGGTTGAATCTGCACAGCTTAGCAAAACAGGAATACCTGTCTACAGACTGATAGGATGTCATATATTAATTTGACCCGCACATAACATTTATACATTTCACAGAAATGACTCTGTATCTCATTAACAGATACACAGCTCTGGTACATTGAACAGAAATAAGAGAACGACTTCATCATTTCTGTAATTCATTAATATAATATAATAAAGGCTTAGAAATTGGTAGCAGAAAGAACTGTAAAACGCAGCAAGCTAAGAAAGGACGACATTTTGAGGTGTGTTTGTCTTTGTCATGCAGCATAACACCAAATTTGTAAATTTTTTTTTTTTTAGGATGCCATGGATTTAAGGCACTTGCAACAATGCCAGATAGCTAGTCATGTTCTAAAATTATGGGACAGATGAGTTAACAGTACAGTTGACATAAAGTTTAATAATACTGACAATTATGACATTAATTCAAGTCTATTGATCTAAAAACATTACATTACAAATAAGAAAATGAAGTAATAATGCCATGGAACTCTAAAAAGAAAAAGTTATATGTGTACCACAAAGTATCAACACGAAAATACCTATTTACATAAATATTCGCTTGTGGTCCTGTTGTTAAATAAGAGTTTGCTATGGATAATGCAGCACTGTGAGAAGCTACGGATCTTCTGTGTCTTAGCGACACCAATCTTAATACACTCGTTTTAAATACGGGAGCTGATTTCCCCTTACGTAAATACGCCGTCATCCCATATATTAAAAAAGGAGACAAAGAAGAAAGGACAGTAAGTGGAAACACAGAGGCAATCCGTTGTTGTGAATATATATATCTATCTATAATGCAACTCAAATATATTACTTATAAATGAAGGCGTTTATCATATACATATGCTAAGTATGTTGTTTAAAGTATGCTTAGGAAAGGTGATGGAAGTCGAGTGAGGTGTTTGATATCAAAATAAACTTATATTCGGTACAGTGCATGCCGCACGCTGCAGGTATTAATTACCGTGTGTAGCACAAGGAAAAAGGGATAGGAAAAAGAAAAATAACCCATCAGCCCATTTTAAAACCTTCTTCCCGTAATGTTTCCGGGTTGCTCCCCAAAATTGTTGTGATGGTCCTTCCTCCCAGCAACCCCTTGACTGACCGCTGCATCTCAGCTACTGAATATCATCATTTTGGGACAAACTCCTCTCTCTGTTCTTCTATAGAAAGTTACCAAACGCAACAAGTTTTCTCCTCCAACGTCACCATATCCATCAAGTGAAAAACTGGGGGGATGTGAGTAAAGAATTTGGCTTTTAGGCAGCAGCCTGTTTGCTAAGATGCCTAGTGATTATTTTAGCCCTAGTGTTCAGCATTGGCTTTCAGTGTCTTCCATCCCTCAGAGAAAGGCTGAAAAGCAATCGTGTATTTGCCCCATACGAGTAATTCCCAGGAGACGTAGTTACTGTCTTTTCCCTATGGTTTTCAAGGCAAACAAGTTTTAATGATTAATGAATACCTGAAGTTATTGTGCCGATGGTGTCGCCTCACCCTTCTGAAAACTAAGGAGCAAATTCAGCGACACAGACTGGTTTCGAAGGGGTCGCGATGACCGAGCTTTTTAGTTTGCTGGCAAATAACAGACATTGTTGATGCTGTCAAAGAAGGGGAGAAAATATCTTTTTAATACACTCTATTAAGTCACTTTCATTAGGAACATGGGAAAAGAGTTGGGATCTAGCATCAGGGAAATAATTTTTTACTGTTAAAACTTAACATTTTCCATGTACTATGTAGGCAAAAGTCATATAAATGACTTCTGAGCAAAAGTTCATCTTTTGACTTCCAGCATATACAACAGCTCTTGGCAGCTCTGAGATGAAATGGGGCAGCATCTGCTAATTTTTTGGGGCAGCGTCTGTTATAGAGACTGAAAGCTGATAAACTTTTAGTCCCATGCATATGCAACCAGCAGGCATCCAGGACAGGATTCCTCTGTTATGTCCTACAAATCAGAAGAGACTGCACTAAAGCAAAGGAAAAGCAGTAGAAGTGAGGGAAAAGTGTACACACAATAATACCGTTTTCCTCAGCTCTTTTTTTCATATGAGCTGACTCGGCTCTAACCATCCCCGTGCCTTAACATGGTCACTGGGGACCTGGTACACTGGAGACACAGAGACCTCACATGAACATATCTAATATTGGTTTTCCATTTAATTCCACTGACTTTTCCATGGAGCTCCTTAGTCTTGTGAGGCATTAGGATTACATTTTTATGGGCAATATTACAAACAGAGCCAGAAAACTGGCCTTGTACTACCTTTTATTTTAACTAGCTTTGTACTAAACACGGAAAAGATGCAGACATGGAGACGTAAAGTCATCTAAGAGCCTGATGGAGAACAATACCTCTTGCTACATATTTCTGAAATGGTGGTTGACTCAATTTATATTCACAGATGAAGGATGTACATAGCACCTATAAAGTACATTACGGGTCTTATGTTTTCCCTTTGGGTTCTAAAAAGGTAAAAATTAAGCTTAGTTTTATGCCTAATAGCTAATCAATAAGACCAGTGGGCTGCTGTCACTTTATTACAGGACCATTATTTAAGCACTATTTTATATGTAAAATGGATTAATTTCATGATTTTTTTTTCATGCAGTTATGTATTTGTACGAAGGGAAAGGAAAAAAAAACCCCAAACGTTGTGTTACAGTATGTTCTCAGCTCTATGAGAGAAGCAACCCATATCTGCCTTAACAGGATCTAGAGCAGTTGTGCTTTTGTTTTACCAGGCTAAAAAAAATTTTCTCAAAAAGAAAGAGGAAAGGTAACATTCAGTCTTGTCAAGAATACTGCTCGGAAAGAAAAAGGACAAATTTTACCACTGCTTTGACATGAACTTTTTGACCAGTACTACTGTGGTCCTCCTTTGCTCCTACACTGGCCTATAGTAGAAGACCTACAGAGTTTGGAGGGTGGGAGTAACCCAAATCCTGCACTGTATTTAGCTACAGCACTCAATAAATTACTATTGATCCTACTGATAAAGCCAGTACCTTGCAGCTAGAATTAAGTGTGTCTTACACTATGTATCTCTTGACTTTTATAATTAAGAGTGTAGCAAGATCGTCGCAGTGATAGAAAACATATTTCTTTACCGGTGAAAGGCTTTGCGTCAGGACCACCATGTCAACTGCTATTTTAAGTTTGAACATAAAACATGAAGAGCACTATTGTCATCTAAGCAATAAGTCCTAATGCCACTGTAGTTACTGTAGCAGCATCAATCAAGGCATCATGGTGACCCCGAGCACTAATCCTCCCCAATTCTTTCAGTTTCGCTGGCAGCCTTGTCCCAGGAAGCTGTCTTCAGCAAGGCAGAAGCAGGTAAGAGAAATACATTAAAAATCTATGTCCCATCCTGAGTTGTCGTCAGGGGGTGGTTCATCACTGTCCTCTGGGAAGCTGTCAAAATTGCTTGTGTCTGTTGGAGATGCAACCTGCGGAAAGAAGAGAGTGACAAGAAGGGAACGATCATCAGAGTGGACTTCTGCAGACATTTCCTCTCCATCTCACAACTGTGATCATTCAAAAGCATTCATTGCTAGCTACAACAAGCAAGAAAAATTCTGCATTCAACAACATTTTGCTGAATCCCAGCAGGACTTCCCACAGCCCCCCTACTCTAATGGTCCAGGCCCTCTAGGGTCTCTAGTTCAAGAGCAACTGTCCTACCCATGATTACAAGGTTGGCAAAATAGACTTGGAAAAGCCCTGGGCCTCCCCAAAGCCCAGGATTTCCAATTCATGGCTCCAGGATCCTGAATTTGAGGCTGTGAGCTGGGCCCTGCTGCCTTTGAGTTTCCT